GACAGCGCTCCTGTCCGCTCTGCCTACCCTTGCTCACGGCCGTGCAAGAAGTCGAGGAGCTCACAATACCGTTCATGTGTTGAAGATGGCGTGAAGGTGCTGCTTTACCGTGACATTAAAAGCCCGCCCTTTCACACTTGGACGCTTGAGGACTCTGGGAGGGATTTAGAGCCCCCTGGTCCTTCCCGTCCCTTCGGGTCTGCTGTGGGCTGGGTGGGTGACGTGCGGGGAGAGGCGGCAGCACAGCACCGGCGGCCGGGCCACGGGACTGGGCTATCGCCGGGAGGGCGCCGTCCCGCCCACCCACCCCACGCCGAGGAAGGGTGTTCCCGGGGCGGGCGAAGGGTGGGAAGGGGGCGGGTTATCACGGGGAGAAAGGCTGCGGCCGTCAGCGCAGACAGATCCCGCGCTGTTGCCGCCGCCGTCTGGGGCTCGTCGCCCACCCCTGGCCATGGGGCTGCAGCCCCGGCGCGCTGCGGGGCCCTGCCCGCCGGCGGGGAGATGCGCCGCCTGGGCCCGCGGCGAGGAGCCGGAGGGAGCGCCCGGCCGCACCGCGTCCCTGCCGCCCATCCTGCCGGCGCCCACCGCTTCCCCCGTCGCTGCCCGGGCGCAGCCCAAGAAGCTGACAGCGGCGACGGCGGCCCCTAAGAAGGCAGCGCCCCGGCCCGCGGAGGAGAAGGCAGCGAGGAAGGCGCGGGGGGCGCCCCCGGAGCGGGCGGGCCCCCTCTCCAGCTCCTGGCCCTGCTCTTCCCTTCAGCGACAGCAGCCGCGGAGGCCGCCGGCCGAACGCGGAGTGCGCCCCCCGCCTGCCACACCGCAGCCGCGGGGCCGCCCGGGTGCGCCGGGGCCGGGCAGCCGCTCCTGCGAGATCCTCGGCGGGGCGCCGGGAGAGACGGCGCCGCGGTTCTCGCTGAGCCTCCCGCCGGAGGCCGTCCGGGTGCTGCAGCGCCGCAGCCTGGAGCGGCAGCGGGGGCAGTCCGGGTCCGGCCCCGGCGGCAGAGCTACCCCTACCCCTGCGCGGCGCGGAGCCCGCGCGGGCAGCGGGGACTTGCGCGCCCTGTTGAAGATATCGCTGCTCAACGAGAAGCACCGCTACGACGACGAGGAGTACGAGGAGGAGGAGGCGGCTGGGGCCGCGGTGGACGAGGGGCTGGTGCGGAAATGCACCGAGTGGCTGCGCGGCGTGGAGAGCGCGGCCGGGCGAGACCGCCCAGACAGGTTGGAAACGCTGCCGCACCTGAGCACCCTCTGAGTCCCTCCGGGGGACCGGGAGAGCTGCCCGGCGGACGGCGGGGCCAGGGGCGGAGGCGGGGTCGCCACCCGGTGTCCGTAGCTGTTGTCTCCTTTGTGATGTCGGCTGCGCCGGCGGCGACCCCGCGAGTGGCAGCGGGGCAACGGCCCGAAGCTGGTCCCCGGGGCGGCGCCGCCGCTCGGCTGAGGGACAAAGGAGAGGCGCCGGCCTCCGCCCGGCAGAGCCCGGGGGCCGGGGAGGAAGTGGCTGTGGGCGTCGTCGTGTCCGTTCCCCCCAGTCCCCCTTCTGCCTTTCCCCCTGTGTTTTTTAAGACTTCTGACTACTTTGTAAGACGTGCGTAATGATTTTGTATATTTGTACATAAAAGTTCATTTTTATTTATTTGAATAAATGACTCAATTCCTGTGTTGCAGTAGCCTTGGTAGCCTCGCTTTGGGCTATTCCTAGTAGGGGGCTGCCGGAGCGGGCGCATTCGCTATAGAGGTGTCCCCACGACCCAGGTGACAGACTGGTAACGGTGCGTTAGCGGGTGCAGGTGCCTGTTCGGGATGGGTATCCGTACAGGCACCGCCGACTCGGCGCCAACCAACTCGCTACGCCGGGCATTCAGCGGGACGAGCCCGGCGCGGCGGCAGTCGGGGTGAACAACAGCGGAGTTACCTGGGCCCTGCCGAAGCGGGGGCGGCGGTGGCCAGGACCGGTCCTTTGGAGGCGCCCCTGACAAAAGGCAGCTGGTCAGAGCCTGCTCCTGTGAGCGAGAGGTGAGAGGTTGGGTCTGTGCAGGCTGCCGGGCATCAGCCCCCTCCCAGGCAGTGATTCAGGCGCATCCGACCTTTCGAGCTGCTGTCGATGTAAAAAGAAGAAAGAAGGAGGGAGAGAGGGGAGCGGTCCCATCCTTTGTCAGCTGGTCCCGACCTTCCAGCTGTGGCCGCAGCTGGCGCTCGTCAGGGCTCAGAGACGAGGAGGGGGCGGGAGAGGATCAGCGGACCGAAATTCCCGGTGGGAAGGTAAATCTTCCCATGCTTATCGTCTCGGCCACTTACTGCCGCTCTCGTGGTGGTGTTACCCAGCTTCTCAGAACCAAAGTGAAAATTACATATTTACTGTGGTACGGTGTTTACAGAATGGAAAACGTTTTGTAAATGAACGTTTGAGCATGTAGAAACATGGTAAGTTGAATTAGAGTAAAACATAGTTTATTGCTGCAAATTGGGAATTAAACATTTCATGCCAGTTTTTTTTTACACCAGATGACGTCTGTGTTGATTGTTCCATGAAATGGTAGGAGATAATCTTTCTGTAGATTAATTGGATAACATAGTGATCTGCTACATTTTATGTAACGTTCTGTGTTGCTCCAGGTTTGTTCAAACAGTTTTTCCCGTTTTTTTCCCCCGGAATCAGGAATGACAGGGAAGATGCTTTGAGAAAATATTTATTAAATGCATTGGTACAGCTATTGAAAAAATAATGAACCAATATAACACAGGTGTGAAATAGTTACGTTCAAAGGCCAGAGAGAAAATTATGGGTCGTGAGAATGTATGGAGAGTAATTCTATTTCATTTAAGCAAATAAAGGAGGTTATTTGTAGTGCTATCTATGAAACTACACATCATTGCACCATTCTGAGTTTGCATTTAGTTCTACCAATTTTCGGTCACATTTTCAAGCAAATATGCCTTAACAATTGGGAATTATCTGCCAAACTTAATTTACAGTAGATTAATGTCAGACCCACTTGTTTGTTTGTTTTTCCCTCTTCTAACAGTAAGGAAAACAGTAGTAGCGCTGTAGCTGAGTTTTCCTCTTATGTTTGTCTTCAGAATGCAAGTTGATAAAAGAGCATCCTGGACTCTTACAAATGTTGTTTCTTACAACTGCTCTGTGCTTTCATATTGACTATAATCAGTGTCTCCAATTCCAGTGAAAAGTGTTCCGCTCATTAAGGGCTGAAGTATGGTAAAGCTTACTTATGAGGCTGAAAGCTGCTTTGTTCAGCCTGAAGTGCGGCAGAAAAGTCAGTAAGTCTGAATGCACAGGAGCAGCAAATACAGCATTGATAGGTGGGGGAGTGGATTGAAAGGGACTGCCAAGTGTAACAAAGGAGGAACCTGCTCGAAGTCCACTAGAAAGAGCAGTCTGAAAACTTGGAAACTGCCTGTATAGATACTTTTTCCCCCTAAAGATTTGGTTTGCACAAAGCTGCCCAGAGATCATGCAAGTAAAGTCTTTTGTGTTAGGAAAGTCATCATGTATGGTAATTGGAAGTGGGCCTGAGATGGGCTCATCCTGGGATGAGGGTACACAGTCCTGATTTTGGGCTGGATGTCAAGAGCCACTGAGCTCTCTTGAGTCACAGAATCACAGAATCCCAAGGGTTGGAAGGGACCTCAGAAAATCATCTGGTCCAACCCCCCTGCAAGAGCAGGGTAACCTAGAGTACATCACAAAGGAACTTGTCCAGGTGGGCCTTGAATATCTCTAATGTAGGAGACTCCACACCCCCCCTGGGCAACCTGTTCCAGTGCTCTGAGTCGTTTAACTAATGCTGCATGGAAGAGTACCTCCTTCACTGAACGTTAACATCGAGATTTATTGTTTTCACTATTTGCTGCTTTTCTGTTCTCTTTTAACAATAAATAATGACCTGAGTGTTCTGAGTACTTTCACCTGAAATGCCCATAAATCTTACAAGGGATAGTAGAATAGGCAGAGAAGTTGCTTCCTACATACTAACAGTAGCTTCCGTTAATCTTGCATGTAGCTTCCGTTAATCTTGCATGTAGCTTACCTTTAGGTTGGTTTTTCTTTTCAGTTAAAAAGAAAACTCCTGGATTCTAGCATCCAAAAATTTTAAGTAAATAAATGTCATAGTTTAAGCTGAACCCAGGACAATTAAACATTATAAAATGTTTATTCACTTCATTAATATTTGGTGTAAATAGATGTTTGAGCCCAGCAACAGGCTTCAAAAGACAAAAATGTTTGTGGAGATTCAGACAGCAGTGAAAACCTTCTAATAGGTCATTGCATTTGTCTCTGTGCAGCATTGCTATTCAAGATCCATTTTATAATACCAATAAGCATCATATCACAAACTAGTCATGGTTCTTTTCTTGCTGAAAGAGCAAGAGCTGTCTGAAGTGCCAAGAACCGAGACTTCTTCACAGCACCCCCATCCCGCTGATCCACAGTCAGTCTGAGCTTTCCTCTGCCCAAGGCATGAGTTGAGGACATGGGGCTCTTGGCACAACTGGAAAATGCAAGTGGGTTGCTGTGAAACAGCAGCTTTCCTGTCCTGTGCTCAACCAAGGCAAGGGTAAGTCCCCAATTCCCAGCCTGCAGAGCTTCCCACACACCTCCACTTTGGTGTAAGTATTGATGTAAATAAGAGCTGTTCTGTGCCAGTGAACAGATTAGATGTGTTCTAATACAGCTAATACTTCTCAGGTGGCATGGATCTGCCCTTTCTGTAAGAACTGACAAGCAACCTGGAAATCACTACATTTGCTTTATACAGTATATTAGCCATGTTCAAAGTGCCTCAGCCTAAGCCTCCCACTCATAGCATTTTTAGCTGCTGAAAGAGAATTACAAGCAGCTGGTGCCATGGATGCTTGAAATAATCAATACTTGCTTCAGGGTAGATAGCTTCCCTTCTTCCTCCAAACACATCAGTGTGATTTATGGTAGAAAAAGAAAAAATCAACAGTGCATTCTGGGTGTCTCCCTTTTTTTCTTAATAGGTAGCTAATAGGTGGTGGTGACCATACCACTGTTTCTGAGCCAGCCTGGAGGAGCTAGGCACAGGTGAAGCCCATGTTTCTGTAACTGAAAAGCCCCAGCCTAGTGCATCCCTGAGTTTGCTCTGTGGTCCTAGCCCAGATCTCAGCTTTCTCACCCCACTGATGCAATTAGTACCATCTTTCTTCTCAAAGTTGAGGGGAGAGCATGTTGTTGCCTGGCTTTTGTGTTCTTTTGTGATCTTCCTCACTGAAATGCTTGCAAAGCCCAAATAAGGAGCATTCCCCATGAGCTGCTGTCCATGAGCCCCACCTGCCTCCCCAGCCATGCTGAAGGGATCCCACATGCAGCTGGGCAGCAAAAGCACCCATTGGCAGCTTTCCCGGCAGCAGAATGATGCTTGTCCTGAGCAGCAGCTTTCCTTCCATTTGGGGAGTGTTTTGTGGGTGGTTTTCTGAGATACTTAAAGGCACATTCATTTTTCTCCCTTCAAAAAAGTGGTGGTTTTGTAAAGAGAGAAAGAGCTTTTGAGAAGGTTTGGCTCTGATACTTCTTGAAAAAGAAATCACTGCTTTGCAATGACCAGTTACAGTGATGTGTGTACTCCCAGCTGACACCTGTGCTACAGGTGAGCATGGAGTGAGGCTGATGAACGACCCTTCCAGAGCATCTCAGGCAGCACCAGAGTTACTGCAGCTCAGTACCTGGCTGCTGAGAACAGCAGGAATTTTTCTTTTCCCTTTCCAGGGAGGGAAAACTGAAGCAATAGTCTCTGGAAACAGCGCTGGGAGTCTGTTACTCATACGTGCTCAGCTGATTTCTGAGAATATGGGGCATATCATGACACTAACTGAAGGAATTACTTTAGCAGAGCTTCTCAACTGATGCATTCCAGCCCACATCTTCACCTGGCTGCAGGAGCAAGCCAGCAAATGGATGTGGTGTGGGTGAGGGGCTTCCTCCAGGGGGATAAACTGCTTCCTGGTGATAGCAGTGAGATGAGTGCACAGACAATGACATTAGGGCTTTTAGCCCCTTTTAATTTTATTGAAAGAGACGTGGAAGGGTTTTTTTTCAGAAGGACATAATTTTTTAAGTCAGATTGTTTCTCTTCTTTGCAATGTATGATAAAGGCTTGAGAGCTCTGGAATGGCTTAAAGTTTTCTTGATTGATTTGTTCTTATGATGTTGAAATATCAAAAGCATCCAGTCTGTTTTTCAATAAGGTGTCTTGAGATAATGATCTTGGGTGATTCTACAGTGAGAGCTCACATCTTGGGTGGAAGTGCTAGGCATAAAAAAATATTTAAGAACCATTTCCACTCTCCCCGGATTTGTTTCACATTGTGGTTAAATGAACTGTTGAGTGAGGGCCAAGTGATACTCAGCTTTCGGCACACTGACCAAAGGAATGTAATAGTTCCATCATCTTTCCTGTCGTCTCACTTCTGAGTGCTGGTGAAAGCTGAGCTTTGAATGAAAAAGAAGTTCCTAATTAAGCATAAAAGTAAATTAGCATGGAAGCTATTGGCTTCTTAGCAATTAACACAGAAGAGAGCAAAGTGTAGGGATTTCTAGTATTGTGATTCTTTTTTTAGCATTTATGTGTCTGCCTGAGTTTCACCTGTCAGTGTATTACTAATGCTTCATCAGCTAAGTCACGTAGTGAGGGCATGGGAAATAATTTGCATCACTTTCTTTGCCAGGGCATTGTCTGAATGGCAAAACCCAAGTGGGAACAACGCTGAGCGATGGAACTCTCAATGCTTTACATTAAAAGCTAACAGAAACTATTTATAAGCAGAATGGTCATGGGGGCAAATAAAAGCAAAGCTCTCAGGAAGAGGGGCTTGGTGTGGGAAGGACTGGGTAGTAATTACCAGGGAGAAGCCACGAGGCGCTGGGGAACACAGGACCAGACCCCAGAGCAGGGGTCTCCATGGCAGACAGTGTCCAGGCCCTCACAAGGGAGAAACATGTGCGTCCACAAGTGTGGGACTGAGACCATGAAACCATTCGAGGTGTGCCTGAGGTAGGACCGTTGGCCAGGCTGTTCTTGCCCTGTCCCATGGTTGTGCTGCTCATCACCTCCCCTCTTTTGCTGGGGACACCCATGACCAGGACAGCCGCAAGGGAGCATGTCCTCCCATGCTGGGCAGTGGCAGAGCTCTCTGTGGGAAACAGGTAACAGTGCTCAATAGGAAGCTGTGGCTTCACTAATTTATTTATGTATTTATTTATTCTCCCTATATATCCATACAGTAACTATGGTTATGTTCTTTGAAACCATTCTTATTTACTTACTGCCTAGTATCTGAAAGTCTTAAGAGAGATCAAGACTTTTCCATAGATGCTTGTATGATGCAATCATGTCCATATCCCCCACACCCTTTTTTTATCCTTGCTCTGGCGACCGCTATTATAGCTTCTCTTCTGACAATGAGTTAAATCCACCTCCACTTCCCTCCCATCCCTCACCCCCGAAGCACAACATTTCAAAGCAAAGAGAAAAGAACAAATAGTTGAATAAGTGTTTCTGGGAGGTTGTTGTGTGGAGCTATGTGTTGTTAGGATTTATTCTTTTTTTGCCACTGTGTGAAATACAGAACAGGTCTTGAGGGTGAATTTCATGGCTCTAACCGAGTGAACTGTCCCACATGTGTATGTGCTTTCTCCACATCGGTTTGCAGTGACTGAAATCTGTTCCCCAGACAGGCACAGTCATCATTAAAAAGGAACACTGGGATGCCCTGGTATTAAGTACTTGTTATGTAGATAATTTGTACTGGTCACTGTATTCAACCATTTGTTCTATGGAGAATGTTTCCTTTCAGTTCATAGGTAGGTGCTTTTAACTTTGAGGAAATATTGTGTGTGGACCTTATGCGGGTCATCTCAGGGTGAAATAACTTGACTTGGCAGGTGTATCTGGAGGATAATGCCCAAGATGCCATCAGCAAGTGATTCCTTTAAATTACAAGTAGAAGAAATATATTAATCCATCCCTTTCAATCTCATGGCTTCTTAATTTTTCCCACTGAGCTTTTACAATAAGCTTCTGTCAAAATGGGAAATAGTCTGACCCAGATACTGTTAGTGATCACCATAATATCTTTAATTTAAAACCGTCAATATTGCAGGGGGGAATAACTGTGAAACAGCAAATAGTGAATTCACGTCAATGCTTACAATGCCTTTTGGACTGGTTTTCAGTTCATGGAATGTTTGGGAATGCTTATTGTGCACAGTATGGCATTCACATCCCTGTTGCTAACCTTGCTATGCATCATACCGACACTTTACTGTTGGAGGGTGTCTCCTTTTATTTCACTTTTTTGGAGCTCTATGAAATGTATGTCTCTGTAGTGCTTCTCTCTGCTGCCCATGGGAAATGCCTCGCTGAGAAGTTAAGATTAATCAGCTTCTGGCTTTATTTCTCTGCATTTATCAGTTTCCAGAAGTATGGCAAAGCAGACTCTGGTCTGTATAACAGCAGGAGTTAAAAATGCTGCTGGTATAGTAAATATATATAATTTGTGGATCACTTGGTCCTTTCAAAGGGTTTACTGAAATTTCTGAAAGAGTGAGCCGATGGCCCATTGGCTTAAATGTAGTAATCAGGAATCTCTGCCACCACCAGCAAGTTATTTAAAAAATGCTGAAAGCCACAGGAACATATGTTAAGAATGTGTAGCTGTCAAAATTGCAGACTCGTTGGGGCAAAGAAAAATGGGTTGTCTAGGGCAGTGTGGGAGTGTAAGTAGAACCACAAAAAAGTGATCTACCAAATCGTGCTCTCGTCTGAATGAGCAACTGAGGAAATGTAGTTTATGAGGTTAGAAATGCTAAAACATACATTTCGTAAGTTTGAAAGTTGATTTTTTTTTTTTGGAAAAAAAATCTTATGATTTTCTGTTCTTTTTTCTTAGTTCAGATGAATCTGAAAAGAAATTTGAAGGCAGTAACTATACTGCCAAGCTCTGGTGAATGAATACAAATTGTAAGCAGAAAAGGAGGAGCACAGCAAGCCTAGCTGCAGACAGATGTGCTGCCACTGGCTGATTCCCAGCTGTGTGTGGCAGACCTTACCCCTCAGAGCTCAGCTGGCTGTGCTGCGTAACATGTCTGCTCCCTACACCAGCCATCGTGGCCTGGGAGCTTGGTGGCTTGGGCTAGAGGTCTTCACTCATCTGGTCTGCTTTGACTGGTACAACAAGGGAAAGCTTCTGCAAGTGGCTGAGTCAGGAGATGCAAATGAGATGTTTTGCTGTCCATCTTGTTTGCACCCAGCAGGATTGAATACTTTATTCATATTGCATTGGCTACCATGAAGAGTTTACTCTGCATCCCAATTTTTTTTTGCATGGGGAGGGAGGTGTTATACCGTTGCTACTTAGAAGCAGATGAATACAGAGGAGGTGTTAGCAGCCACGCAGCAGCCTATTTCCATTGCCTCTTGGATGGGGTCACATAAAGAGTGAGATTTCATCCCACCCGACATTCACAAATGTGCCTACATTGACTGTTTCAGCTGTTTCCAGGGGAAACAGCAAGTTTGTGTGACTGGTCCTTGCTCTCACCACTGCCTGGGTACTACTGAGCAGCAAAGGCATTCAGTTTTGCTTGAGAAGCAGGCAGAGTAGGTCACAATCACTTTGGGGTTTTGGCTCTATTTTCCATGAAAACAAAGAAAATACTTTGTCTGTGAGATCAGTTCCTAAGGTCTTTGGTGTTTGTATCTCATTCATAGCCCTGCAATTGATCCTCAGTTAATATAACAGCAAAGTTAATAAAACAACCTTTGTTTTGGTTCTCTGAACGTTTCACCATCCCCTTTTGTGGCTGTTTTGTTCAAAAATAAAGGGGGGGGAGGGGGATGGTGGTGTAAGAGAGTATATTCTAAGTACAAAGGGAGAAGATAAAAGCATCTGTCTGTTTCTGTACCTCCTACGTAATATTGCCATAGTAACAAGGAGCTGAATGCGGCTGTTCATCACTGAATGCCGAGGTAAAGCAGACACTTCTTATTCAAAGGAATATTAGTAAAATACAGATTTTTAAGGTGTCAATAAAGAATTAGGAAAAAAATTATCCACCTTACATAGCACACTTTGTAAGCTAATAATGAAGAGCCACTTTGAAAGAAAAGCGGGCAATTAAGGCATTTAGCAAACATTTATAACGCTGTAAATCAGAGCGTTTTATTTTCCACACAAAGCCATGCTGAGTTGTGAAGCGCAGTCACAGACAATATATTTTGACATTAAATTTACCTGAGACGAACAGCTCTCTCTTTTCTTCTGCCTAATATAACACCTTTTTGACAAGGGACTTGGCTCTGGCTACTGCCAAATATTTGTACTGCAGCATTGACTGGCTATGCTATAATCTGGATTAAAGTATAAGTAGGTAAAGCATTTTGTGTATTAGGACTGCATGATGTCTGGTGCCGTATTTTAACCATTAAATCACCTCCAGACAGGGTGAAATTCTGTTCCAGGTGCGTGCATCAGGTAAACATCTATATATCTTTGAAATTTTAGTGAAAAAAAAGAAGTAGTTTTATTACTCTGAGAGTAAAATTTGAGAAAGATAAAAATGTACACCTGTTTCAGTGCACTATTACTGGTGTAATTTACTGTTACTACTGCAAATTCTCTGTGCTTTGCAGCAAGAGTTCGGCCTTTAACTTGTTGCATTTCTGTGTCAAATAATGGTTGTCTTTAAAGAAATAAGTTTTCAGTATTTGATCAAGTGATGGATTAAAAAAGGAAATCTGTTACTCTGCAAACGCTTGCAAAGGTCTTACTGATTTGAAAGGGTTTTTGTTTTGTGTTGGTCTTGGGGTTTTGGGAGGTTGTGTGTTTGCTGTTGCTTGGGTTTTTTTTTTCCTTTCTGAAGGCTTTTTCAGCCTGAAGTGTGTTTAAAATGAGGGCTTGAAGCACAGAGCTTAACTTTATAAGCAGCCACAGCTACCTCCTGAGAAGAGGAGGTAGGAAGAAACTGTGAGAACAGCTTTCCCAACACCACCAGTGGTCTCTACCAACCTCTCATGCTTCTGGTTGGGGTTAAAGCACAACAAGGACAAGAGCTGGAGGCAGCAGATCTGGGGAAAGTGATGTGTCTTCAGACGCCTGGGTAAATGATACAGATTCAGGTTGGAGCCAGGCTGAAGGGATGGGAAGACTCAGCAAGGAGGTGTGATAGCTGGAGACTGTCACTGTTGGAGCCAGCAGAAGCGCAGACTGAATTAAGATTGATGACAAACCCATGTGATACCCCAAAGTAAAGTTGGCAGGTGACAAACTGGTCTCTCAGGTAGAGCTGATTCCTCTGCTCAGCTCCCCACTAGCACCCGGACAGTCTCACTATGTACGGTGACGTGCATGGGGCCATTTCCTTGAGGGGGCAGGAGGAAGGCTGGCACTCACTTTTTCCTCTTTGAAAAGAGTGCCCTAGGAAGTCACGGACACATGTACACTGTGGTTGTGGGGTCAAGTGCGCTAAAGTTAGGTATGAAGTGATGAATCCATGTCTCTTTATTTATGCACACAGGCTTTTTATAAGGGCTCTCAGCATCACTTACTGCCTAGAGCTGGCTCTTCCTCATGCAGCCCCGCTGTGTTTCTAGGAGTTCATTATGCCTTCCCATGATGCATTTTACAACAGCTGCCTGTGCCAGCCACTGGAAAACGCCAGAACCTGTTTATTTATGCAGCTCGTTGGGCCACATGTTGACATGTACTGGTTGATGATGACCATGTTGCCTGGTAAAAGGCTGGCAAACCTGAGCTTTTGCCTCCTGAGCATACTAATGGGGGCTTTCTTGTGTTTCGTCTGCCAAAGAGCCTGTGTGGGGGAAGGGAGCAAATAAAGATCACGTAACTTGGTCTCTTTTCACAGTTTGAACAGTTGCCTGAAGGGTATTTTTATTGCTTGTCTGAGAGCAGTAAATACTTTTTTTTTTCTGTGAAAATGTGTCCTATCTAATTTGTGGAGCTCCAGTTTCAAAAACAGCTCTTAGGTTTTCAGGGGCAGGGTTTTGGGGGGGGGGAGGAAACTACATTTTTGTGTGGAAGTAGGAAACTAGGATGTAGAAGAGGGAAAATTAGTTTATGGGTTACTGTTTCTTGTCAAATTGCCATAATTAAAACAAAAAGCACGTAGTTTTAGAAGCAACTGAAGACCAGGATTCCTCTCTACCTTGTTCATGTGCTTGTCTTAGGGAAGAGTTACTGCTTTATGTGTGTCCTCTTTCCCTTGTCTAGCAGGCTCAGAAGAGAAGGAAAATGTTCTCCCTCCATGCAGAACGGCCAGTTGTTGCATTGCTCTCCTGGAAGGTGAGGGGATTTGTGTGTGATCTCCTTCATGCAGACAAGGTGAGTGCAGTGAATACCACTAGCCTGTTACTCAAAGTTTGCCATTTCATAGGACACTTTTCACCGTTGAAGAGATGATAGTGGAATGCTGTTTCTTACAAGGGAATCCAGGCTCCTATAGATGACTAAATGAACGGTTAATTCAGTGCAGTAAATGAACCATCTGAGTTTAGATTTGAGAAACATTTTTCTTAGGTGCTTCTTTGTTACTTTAGGATTTTCATTTTTAATTTTTTTCTCTCTGCAGCCAGGATATAAAACATGTCAGCACATCAGTGAGAGAGCAAATCTTTGCCACTCAGGAGACCCAGGCTCTGTCGAGCGCTATTGATGTGGGGTTTGACTAGGACTCCTAGTCTGACTAGGACTCCTGAAATCCAGTCTGTGAGCTGAATACCTAAAACCGAGATGGGGCAATGCAAGTGTTTCGTCACTGCAATTGTATGCCTCTTTTGAATGCTGTGGATTCAGGCCCTTAATTTATATGTGTTGTGATTCAGGTGGTTTTGCACAACAAAAATCTTTCTGTGTGCCAGGAAAATGATGAAGTACTGAGGTTAGGACTGTATTGTATACTTTCTATGGGGCTTTGTTTAGATACTTTAGAACAGGAAGACAATGCATCACCTAGCAGAAGAACAAAGCAATGTTGACACAAGGCAATGTTGGTTTGTGTGGGTTCAACATAGTACCTTATAGTACAGCTAGCATTTAATTCAAGACTTGATTAACCGGTTAGGAATGTTAGCATGTACATGGGCAGATTTGTACTTGGATTTCACAGTACATTTACAATGACTTTTCAGCAATTGTGTTTACTTTTGACAAAACTGGGATCACGTAAAGGAAGGACAGGTACAACAATGTATGTATTTGGTTATTCAGCTGCTAAATACTACTGCTTTTCCTGGTGTGCATGCCAGGATGCTGCACAGTGTCACTCACCTTTGTGTGATGCCACCTTGTATTGCTCATGTTACTTCCTCTTGTTCCAACAATCACCTATTGATTTGTTCCTAACTTTTCTTGAGGCTGAATTACCTTTGTCTGCTGCTGCAGGAGGTATGGAAACTTAGGGTAAAAGGCCTACAAAGTCTTAAGCATTGAAAGTAGAAAGCTGCATGAGCTTAAAAGGATTCTTAGGTTGTCTTGTTCCAGAAGGTGGTTTAATTGCTTCTTTGTTTAGCTTTCAGTGTTTCTGCTGCACTATCTTCAAGTCCCTTTGATTCTGGATCCAAAATAAACTTCAGAACTGTGTTGGCAGGGAATAGGTGGATAACCACAGACTCACAAGAGTAGGACTCTTGTGTCTCTATGAATCACAGTTCTTCATCTAAGCTAATCTATATGTCTCTTCTATATGTCAGTGTCCACTGTAGACTAAAGATGTGAGCTCAGCTCCATGAAACTCACTGAATTGTCTCAGAATGGTGCTGCTGGGAACCTCTGTGTGGGAAAAGACAAATGGGATGTCACTGTGGAACTGCTGCAGTGAGGTGAGGGAAATAGAAAAATAGGGTTGACATGAAGAAGAGTAGGCAGAAGCACAGGGACATGGCACAGCAACAAAGTACCTCAGTCTGTGTCACGGTTCCATTTCTTTCTCTACCACTACCTGACAGGAGGTTGTAGTGAGGTGGGAGTCGGTCTCTTCTCCCAAGTAACAAGTAATAGGACAAGAAGCAACAGCCTCAAGCTGTGCCAGGGGAGGTTTAGACTGGATATTAGGAAACATTTCTTCACAGAGAGAGTGATCAGGCGTTGGAACAGGCTGCCCAGGGGAAGTGGTGGAATCACCATCCCTGGAAGTGTTCAAAAGCTGTGTAGGTCAGGCCATCGGTGACATGGTTTAGTGGTGGTCTTGGCAGTCCTGGGGGAATGGTTGGACTTGATGATCTTAAAGGTCTTTTCCAACCTAATGGATTCTATGATTTTAAATCATAACCGCCCATGTGGTAGCATCATCTTGCCTCTGGAGAACATGAGCACCTGCACCATCTGCCAGCCTCATCTTCTCCGAGGCAGGAGATCCCTGTGGTGTTCACTGCCAGCTCAGTGTGGGAGTACATTAATCTGAATCCACACTGTAATCAGCACTTATTCCCCTGATTTAAACCCCAGATGTTGGATTTAAAAACGGGATGAGAAGAGGCATGCATGGAATTATTGCTACTGATTTTAAGTTTTTGTCTTTATCCTTCTCACTTACAAAAAGCTGTCAGTGCTGTAAGGTATTGTTGGTGTGTTTCTTTGCTCCAGGCACTGTTGCTGCCTCATACTTGGAGGGTGAGAGCTGCAAGGTAGGTGCCAGGGCTGCCTTCCACTCTCCTCAACACAGTGGGTGCCTTCAGGCCTTTCTGTGTGGTGAGAACCGCCAGGATTATGCATGTTTGCTCGTGTCCTTGGTAGCAAAGGATTACTTACAATGCAAGCGGGATTCTTCCTACTGCGAGCAGTGTGTCTATAGAGCAGTGCTTTGGTGTTTAGCCAGTGGGATGGATTTTGCAAAGAAGTGAGAGGAGGAAATAATGGTGCTTCTTGCTTTTAGTGTTGGGGTTTTTTTCTTCTTTATTAGCAAAACAAAGTTATGTTGGTCATTTTTATTTTACTGTCATTTTGCTTGTTGTCTCATCTACTGCTGCTTATTAGATACACATTACGTATTCCCTGACTTACAAAATCAGTCACTGGTATTCCTGATTTCATAGTAACAAATTGTACTATGTGTGAGAGACAAGCAAAGTTGTGCAGGATGTTCTCAGTAATGCCAAGTATTTCTGTGAGATGGTTTGCAGATACCAGTATCCTGCGAACAAGAAAGGTGTGTTCAGGCTTCATCTCAAATAGCACATGCTAGGGGCAAGTTAATGTACAGGTTTTTAACTGGTTTGTCTTGTCTCTTGGCCACTGGTGTGAGAGCTTGTATCACCTCAGAAGCACTGCCACACAAACTGTGCTTTGTATGATTTGGGATGAGAAGATTCTTTCTGAAGGGCCTGTTTCTTGGAATAACATTAGAAATTTGGTGAACCCTGGAAAGTATCAGCCTTAGCCAGAGTTTGCTGCTGAGCAGCTGCTAGTTTAGGATAAACCAAGAAAAAACATCAGACTGCAGAAAGAATTTACTAAACAGCATGAAATTGTCTTATGTCTAGTCCATGAGTATAATCCAGAACTGAGACTGCAAATCAGTGTAGGACAAAGAGCTGATCTGTTTTGTCCTCCTGCTGTCAAACAACCCATTCCAACCCAGATCTCAAAAATGAAAACACATCAGGGGCTTACCCTAAACCTGCACATTGTGCTTGCCTGGAATGCTTGCTATTTTCTAAAGCTTAGAGAGGGTCTAACAGATGCCTTGTTTAGTCAGGTAGTGCAGCTGTTCTGGAGTAGTCTAGTTTTAGTGGGGCATTAATGAAACATTTTTTAAATATCCCAATAAAATTTCTGATTTTCAACATGTACAACAGACAGCCAACTAACACAGTTTACTTCTTATTTGTATCAACACTTTGGGCAACCCTTGCCTACCTGTGAGCCACCAGACCTGTTGTACTGGCACAGGCTATTCGTCTGGACCGCCAGCGGTGGCTTGTGTCCGTATTTGCCTGCCTGGTGTGGATGTTCCTGCTATGCTAATTGCATCACATGTGGCACCAGAAGCCTTGCATTTCAGTGGGATTTAGAGGTTGTGTAGAAAGACATCTTCGTGCTTTGCTGGTGCAGCCTGCAGAATTTGGGCTGTCCAGTTATGTTCTGGACAGCAGAAGAGTGTCTGCTGAGTATGTTAAACTGCCAATAAGTATGCACAAATTCAACTCCAGTTCAACTCTGGTTTGAGAATCAGGAGCAGGCTCTTGGTTTTGAAGTATGTGTAGTGTGGAAAAGTATAAAAGTATGTTAAGGCTGGGTATATCCTACCTTCATTCTAGTTATTGGCTGAAGTCAGCCCTGAGTTTTATACCTAGGCATAGCAACCCAGGCAGGTATGTTGAATCAGTTACTCAAAGCCTTAGAAACACAGCCTTCACACTAGCTCTTTATATTTTGAAGTAGTTCATTAACCTGTGTTGTTGCTTGAGAGTAGCAAAATCAAAAGTATCTGTGAATTAAAATTTACATGCAAAACATGCATCTCAAAAGATGCATGAATTACGTGTTTTAGCAGGATCTGACTTATGTATTGGCAAAGACAAGCAACCTAGCAGGTATCCATTGCCACAATTGCACAGCCCCTCTTTTTTTTTGGCACTGATTTGTCTTTGTACAGAATAACCACAAACAGAAGGGGACTATCAGAGATGGCAATGAAAAGAGAAGAAACAGCAAATCAGCATTTATTGAGGAAGGTGTGATGAAGCAAGCCCTGATGGATCAGCTAATGCCACTATAGCAGGTTATCTGATAAGTGATACTACTGGATTTCAGGATTTGTGATCAAGTAGCAATGAAATGGTTCAGTTACCCAGGGGCTGGAACTCCCTGTTCAGTACCCAGGTGCCAAGAGAGTTTCTGTATTGGCAGAGCACTTTGTTTTAGCTGTTAGAGCAGATTCTGATATCAGTTGTGGTTATTCTACCAGTATCTTTAATTCATTTATTTATTTTTATTCTTTATGTCTGTGTGGGCAAGGGAAAAATTGGGCTATATAGTCAAATACTGAAGAAATTCTTAAAAAAAACAACCTCTCCGGCTGTAACTACATACTGGGGGAAATGAGGTTTCTAGGCGCAGTACTTTGCTATGCTGCTTTGCTCATTATTTTCAACAGTTAGTAAGTAGATGACAGTCTGCAAAGTAAGGCTGGTAAGGAGTTCTTTGGTCATTATCAGTAGAGAGTATTTATCTGTGCATCAAAAATAGCCGACTTTGATTAACCTACATGGCATTCATCAGTATTTTATCTGCCATTTGTGATGCCAGAAAACATTTTTTAAAACTTGTTGTAGTCAGTGTTGTGGGATAGTGTCAGTATTTTCTTATGGTTAATGCTCACCTCG